AGTCACACACAAGGCCCTGCCCCACACGGGACACACCACAGTCACACAGGGCCCTGCCCCACACAGGAATATACCACAGTCACACACAGGGCCCTGCCCCACACGGGACACACCACAGTCACACAGGGCCCTGCCCCACACGGGACACACCACAGTCACACACAAGGCCCTGCCCCACACAGGAATATACCACAGTCACACACAGGGCCCTGCCCCACACAGGAATATACCACAGTCACACACAGGGCCCTGCCCCACACGGGACACACCACAGTCACACAGGGCCCTGCCCCACACGGGACACACCACAGTCACACACAAGGCCCTGCCCCACACAGGAATACACCACAGTCACACACAGGGCCCTGCCCTACACGGGACACACCACAGTCACACACAGGGCCCTGCCCCACACAGGAATACACCATAGTCACACACAGGGCCCTGCCCCACACGGGACACACTACAATCACACACAGGGCCCTGCCCCACACGGGACACAGCACAGTCACACAGGGCCCTGCCCCACACGGGACACAGCACAGTCACACACAGGGCCCTGCCCCACACAGGAATACACCATAGTCACACACAGGGCCCTGCCCCACACGGGACACACCACAGTCACACACAGGGCCCTGCCCCACACGGGACACACCACAGTCACACACAGGGCCCTGCCCCACACGGGACACACCACAGTCACACACAGGGCCCTGCCCCACACGGGACACACCACACTGTCATACACAGGGTCCTGCCCCACACGGGACACACCACAGTCACACAGGGCCCTGTCCCGCTCCTTTGCTGGTCCCTGCCAGAGTTGATGGCCTGCCCACCTTGCCCGCGTAGTAGAAAGGGAACCAGAACAGGAGTAGATCGCTGAAGAACTCGATCAGGCCGAACAGGGCGTACACCACCCAGTAGGTTAGCCACACAGTATCGTCTTCCTTGGCTGGGCTCTCGATAGCTTTGACTCTGTTGAGATGGAAATGTGCATGTCTGCTCTCTCCCGGGGAGCCCCCAGGAGCCCCCCCCCCTCGCGGGCTGCCCTCCACACTCACGAAGCATATGCGGGGTATACAAATCCGATGACATTGCACAGTAGAGAGGCCCCGTAGCCGAACAGAAGATACAGGCTTAGCAGCGCGAGAGCCCCTGAGGAGACAGCGTGGCCAGCAATGCCTCTGATGCAGCCTGCAGCCCCTCTTCCCTGGGGACACTCTGGGCAGTGCACCCTCGATCCCATGTCTGCCGCACCTCCCTCATGGGGAGTGCCCCAGAGCGGGCAGGGACCTTGTTCAGCTCCGGGCTAAGGCTCAGTTTTGGTTTTTTCTTCTTCTTTGAGACAGGGTCTCATGATGCAGCCCTGGATGACCTGCCTGCTTCCACCTCAGCCCTGGGATTAAAACATTCTGCCATACTGGCTAAGTTTCTGCCTTTTCTGTTTGATTTTTGAGAATGCAGCTAGTTTTGTAGCCCAGGCTGGCTTTGAACTCTGGCTCCTCCTATCTTAGCCTCTGGAATGCTGGGGTGATAGAGTACACAAGGTCATCCTTGGCTACTATAGTGAGGTCAGTGCCAGCCTGGGCTACACGATGTCTCAAATCCCACTACCTAAAAAGGTTTGGGGGATGATGTGGTGGTAAAATGCCTTCTGTGCAAGCATTATGGCTTTGATTTTGGACCACAGCGCATACCAACAAGACAAAAATGGGCTTGCTGCAGTGCATAGGCCACCCCAGCACTTGGTGGAGGGTAGCGGAGACAAAGGCTCCTTGAAGGTCATCTGACAATCAATGTTCAGCGAACTTACCATCTCCAGAGAAAATGGAGAGTGGCCAGCCAGAGGGCTCAACAGGTAAAGGCACCTGCCAAGTAATCAGGGACACCTAATCTGATTGTTGGAACAATGGGATGTGTGTGTGTGTCTGTGTCTGTCTGTCTCTCTGTGTCTTTGTCTCTGTCTGTCTCTCTTTCTCGTGCGCGCACTCTAGAAACCCCCCAAACAAGCAAGGTTTCACCTGACCAGGGCTCTGCACCAGGCTGGATTGTCCACGTGCAGGTATGGCTGGTGCTGATTCCCTGACCACACTGTAGGGAACCTTCTTTTGGCCACTAAGACATTCTCAGCAATGAAGAGCCCGGGGCTCCCACGCCATTGCCACTGTGCACTTACTGTTAGAAAGGGCCACGTGAGAAAGTGCTGGGGGGCACCTGGGGTCTAATCTACTCCAGAGAAGGCCAGAGGCGGGGCTGAGCTGGAGCGGGTGGAAGGGGTTTATCTACCAGAGAGGACCTTTGCCCTCAGGGTAGCTGAGCCTGAGCTGTCTCCTCCTTCCTCCCCCAGACTGTTATCTGCTGGGACACAGGCTTTTGGGTCTAAGGTCAGAGAGTCCCTGCCCCTCCTTCCACCTGCTCTGGGTCTTATCCTGGTATCTGAGACTGAACAGCAGGGGAGCCCCAGCTGGCCCAGGCTGACCAGGGTGACCTCCCATCACTGCCCTGAGTCCAGTGGCCTGCTTCATTTAGTGCCTGGGGGCATAGGATGGCCATTTGGGGCAGTTGAAACCTAAGATTTCTCTATTTAGATAAGGGTCCTGAAGCAGGAGAGGGACATCACCCTGTCTCCAGCACTGGTGGGGGAAGGGCTGTCCCAGTGTACTGGTCCCCTCAATCTCTTTAACTGCAACCTCAGCAGGAGGAAGATAACCGTGGAACCAAAGCTATAGGGCAGAGAGAGGAGGCGGTGACGGAGGGCGGAGGGCGTGGGACGAGGAGGTGATGGGCAGCTTTCCACCTGTCCTGACTCCTGTGCCTCAGTTTCCTTCCTGATGCCACCCTTCCCAGAGTACTGTGATGCAATTTCCCTAATGATGTGAAAAGCCAGAACAGAGGTCACAGTCTGTACCTGGAACCTGCACAGAGGGACAACAGGCTGTCTCGGGGTGCTGAGTCACCCCGAGAAGCGGGATATCCTGGGATCTGGGCACAGCCATCAGATCCCACACACACTGGGGTGTGGGGGCCCGCCCTCCAGCTGGTGGGGCTGTCTGTCTGGAGAAGGGACTTTGTGACCTGTGACACAAGTCCTTCATACAGACCCCATGGTCTCATGAGTCAGGCTGTGGGATTCTGAAGACATAAAGGGAGCATAGAAAATCACTTTGGAAAGACACGCAGGGGCCCTTACCACACCTGCACAAAGGACCTGGGAATAGAACGGACCTATAATTTGGGTGCTTGGACGGTCCCTCCCTCAGACTCCCCATCCCCCAGATCCCAGCTGGCACCTTAGCTCAACAAATATTGACTCAAAGGTATTGTGTTGGGGCAAAGAGGGGGTGCTGGGTCAGTCTTCATGTTCCAGGGATGCATGGGATCATTTCTCCGTGAGAACATTCAAGAAGGGGCTGGGAACGCGTAGGGGACTGAGTGGGGGTGCTTCTTGTTTCTCCACCCACACAGGGGCCAGCTAGCCACTGGAAAAACCAGACTTGCAGGGACTTGGGACCCGGCACGCAGGCTGCACGGGAGAGTGCTTCGAGACACTAGGGTGGCCTTTTCCAAAGACCCTGGAGTACAGGCAGGTAAATTAAAGTCCCTCTTCTCCAGAATCTAGAATAAGAACCCGCAGGCAGCTCAGAGTCCCCAGATAACGTCAGGGTCCATGGGGGAACCAGAACATGTTCCCCTTCCATGGATGGGGTCTCAGGACATCTTGGTTTCCTGTTGGAGACCCAGCTGTGCACCCCTTCCCATGCAGGATGGAACCCTAAATCCAGGTTAACCAGGGACCTGAGGTAGACACTCCTTCTCGGTCTGAGTCTTTATGGCCTTGTGGAGGCCCTCAGAGTCCTGGGATGTGAACCCCTTTCTGGTCAGAGTCCCCAGGACTTCACGACGGACCCGGGATGTGAGTACCTTTTAGGGATACCACAGCTAGGTCTGAGTTTCTAGAACCTCCCATAACTCGTCGGAGACCCAAGACTTCAAGGTGCCCATCCCGGCCAATGCACCCTTTCCAGGGATGGAACCCAGGACCTCATGTGCCCGCCGGGGACCCGTGACATGCACCCCTCTCCAGGAGGCTCACCCGCGGCCAGATACCGCTTCTCTACACCGGTCCTGGCTTCGAGCGCTCCGAGCGCTTCGGTGGCAACGTTCTTCTGCTCTAGAAACCGCTCGAAGCGCTGGCGCAGACCGTCCATGGCAGCGGCGGGCCCGGGGCAGGCCGCTCAAGCACACCCGCAGCCTCGCGCACCGGCTCCGCCGAGGCCGAACAGCCTTCGACTCCCGCGCGCCCGCCCGCCCCGCCCCCGGCCCGCTACTTTCGGGCTCCGGCCCTGGCTCCGCCTCCGGCCCCCGGCTCTGGCCAATAGGAGGGCAAGGCGGACAAAGGAGGTGGGGCCTGCCCCGTTTCCCCCGCCGCATTGCCCTCTGGCCAGGGCGGAGGCCGGCCGGACCGTGAGGTGGCCGGAGGGGGCGGGGCACCAGGCTGCCGGCGCGTTGATTGGTCAAGAGGATTGACGAAGCGCGGTGAGGTGGGTGGAGCTAGATGAGGAACAGGTGGGCGGGGTCCGGCTAAAGACAGCGCTGAATGGACAGACCAGAGAAGGCGGGGTTTATCACAAAGGAGGCGGGACTACACTGGATAAAACGATGCTGATTGGAAGATGTGCGGAGGCAGGGCTAATTCTCGAAGGAGGGGCGTGGAGGAAAGTGGGCGGGGCCAAATAAAAGGTTGAGGGGATTCCTGTGATCTTGCAACTGCTCCTTAGGCCAGATGGAGGGGTTGTCCTTGTATAAGTTGGGAAACTGAGGCTCCCGAACGCTTAGGTCTGTGTGGATGTCTCTCCATGTGGGATATTCCCACCCCTCCTGGGTGGGGGCAGAGGGAACCGCAAGGCTCCTTGGGAGCTGAAGGAATCTGGGTTGCTATGGTGTCCGGGATGGGGGGGCTTCCTGAGGCCCCGCCCCCCACCCCTCCCCCCGCTATGCGGCCCTTCCCAACCGCGCTGTGGCTGGGTCTGGCTTTGGCCCTCCTGGCTGTGGGGTGGGCTTCAGCCCGGGCCCCCATCTATGTCAGCAGCTGGGCCGTGCGGGTGACCAAAGGTTACCAGGAGGCTGAGCGCCTGGCACGTAAATTTGGCTTCGTCAACCTGGGACAGGTGGGTGGGACCTGGATGGATGGGACCTGGGGTGGGGACCTTAAGGACCTCAGATCTAGACATATGGGAGGGGGTTCCCAAGATCTCCCCAGATACGAAGAACGTGTCAGTGTGCCCCCTCAATGTTCAATTCGGGATCCTGCAGCCCTCATCTGGGCACCTCATTGAGGCCTAAAATGCCCCGGAAAGTGCCCTCCATCCTTGGGGACTCTATCAAAGGAGCCAGGTCCCAGCAATGCCTCTGTCCATCACATTCCCAGATCTTCCCTGACGACCAGTATTTCCATCTACGACACCGGGGTGTGGCCCAGCAGTCCCTGACCCCACACTGGGGCCACCGTCTGCGCCTAAAGAAAGAGCCCAAGGTAAGTGAGTCCCTGTTTGCCGTCTCCTAAGGCCAACCAAGCCACCTTCTGTCACTCTCATTTTTATGAATGAGACCCGTAGGTTTGTGAAGTGGGACCTGGTTGGGGAAGCCATGAAGCATGGCACCTACCACAACACGGCATTTGTGGGGAGCTCTTACTGAGGGCCCCTGCCCAGCTTCTCAAGGACAGAGCTCTTCTCATGCTGGTCCTTCCCGCTCCAAGCCGTAAGATGTAGGGAAGGAACTGTGCCCAAGAGAAGAGCCTGGAGTGGATGAGTGTGCGGCGAATCGGGCGCAGAGCCCGTGTGTTTCGGGCGCTCCTCTAGGTCTACCCACATTAGGCCAGTCCTCCACTGGGAACAGCCCGTAGATGGCATTCAAGGAACTGGCACGGAGTTGTGGCCGTGTGCGCCACACACGATTACGAGATACACCGAAGAGGCGTTCGTCTTCAGCACCAGGAGCTGAGTTGCTGTCCTAGTGCAGTGACAGAAATGCCACAACCAAGGCAGCTTAGAGAAGGAAGAGTTTATTAGAACTTTCGGCATCAGAGGGTGAGTCTGTGCCCACCATGTCGGGGAACATGGCAGCAAGCTAGCAGGCTGGCACGCTGGGGCAGTGACTGCTACCTACGTCCTCATTCACAAAAGGAGGCAGAGAGAGCCTTCCATCTGCCTCCCAGCGACACTCCTTCTCAAGGCCACACATTTGTAAACTAGCTGTCAGAGCCTGTGGGACCCTTCTCATGAAAATCTCCCCAGGGACTAAGTGTCTTCAGAGGCCAGAAGAGAATAGAGTCAAACGGGAGGATTAGGGCGTTAGGGCGAAGGGACGAGATGAGTTGGATGGGTGGACGGACAGATAGACCAAGTCAGGTTACCCAGGAGAGCGCGGCTCATGAGAGTAAGAAGGAGGTGTGAGGAGAGGGGGGCTTGAGCTGGTGTTGGCAGAGCAGCACGTGCAAAGGGCCTCGCTCAGGGAGGAGCAGGCTGACTCCTAGAGACCAGAGGGGTGGAGGTGATGAGCTGAGGCTCAGTGGCGGAGCACTTGCTCAACAAGCCGGTTCCATCCATTGCACTTCCACCAGGCATGGGAGCTCACGCCTGTCATCAGGAGGGTCGGGATTTCAAGGCCATCCTGAGCTGGCTACATAGAGTTCAAGACCAGCCTCAGCTACGTGAGCCCCTACCTCAGGAAACAGACATAGAGAGTGAGAAGATTCAGAGGGCAAGGCGCCTGCTGCCCAGCCTGGCTGAGCTCAGTGCCCGAGACCTACAGAGTGGAAAGACAAAACTGGCTCCCATGGTTTTATAAGATTTACATTTTTTAAATGTGTATTAGTGTTTCTCCTGCTTGTCTGTGTACCATGGACAGATGCAGGTGCTGAGGAGGTCAGAAGAGGGTACAAGATCACTTAGAACCTGTCCCAGATGGTTGTGAGCTGCCATGTAGACACTGGAGATTGAACCCCGTCCTCCGCAAGAGCAGCCAGTGCTCTAAATTACTGAGCCATCTTCCAGCCCCGATAGTTCTTTGGCCTTCACATATGCTCTGGTGCACATATATGTGCACATACACACAGAGGAGAGAGAGGAGGGAAGAGGGAGGGGGAGAGGGGGAGAGGGCAGAGAGGGAGGGAGAGAAAGAGAGGGACGGGGGAGAGAGAGGGAGGGGGGAGAGGGAGAGGGGGAGAAGGAGAGGGGGAGAGAGAAGGAAGAGAGAGAGAAAGAGAGGGAAGGAGAGGGAGAGAGACGGAGAGGGAGAGGGAGAGAGGAGGAAAGGGGGAGAGGGGGAAGAGTGAGGGGGAGAGAGAAGGGGAGGGGAGAGAGAACAAATGAAAAGCAAGAGAGAACAGACACACAAAGGCAGTGGAAGCTGTTGTGGGGTAGGGGTGCCCTGACCCAGAAACTGTGTTGAGGTGGTGGATTTTCAAAGTTCTGCTGGGTTGGGGGTGACCTCAGCTTCCAACAGGGGATTTCCAGGCCAGCTGTGGCTCTGCAATGTTACCTTGTCTCAAAACAAAAACTAGTGCCGCAGGAGGGAGTCAGCAGGACTCGGCAAGAAGGAGTAGGTGGGGACCAGAAGACCCACACCCATCCCCAGTGGCTTCATGCAGGCATCCTCAGCCTCAGCAGTTTCTGAGAACACGGCTTGAGGAGCATGGGCACCCAAAGAGCAGTTCAAGCCAACATTCCTATCTCTCAGCAAGCACCTCCATGGAGGCTCACAGCCCTCCTGCTGCATCCCACAGCCCTAGAGGTAGTGATGATCCAGCACAGCCCATGTCCCTCTGCAGGTGCAGTGGTTTGAGCAACAGACTCTGAGGCGGCGGGTGAAGCGCTCCTTGGTGGTGCCCACGGACCCCTGGTTTTCCAAGCAGTGGTACATGGTAAGCACTTGGGCTGGGCCGAGTGGACAGGGGCCAGCTTGAACCCCACTGACCCCAGGTTCATCTTGGTCTGTTTTAGAACAACGAGATACAGCCAGATCTCAACATTCTGAAGGTTTGGAACCAGGGACTGACCGGCCGGGGAGTGGTGGTCTCCATCTTGGATGATGGCATTGAGAAGGACCACCCCGACCTCTGGGCTAATTATGTAAGTACCGGGCTGGGGAGACGGCTCAGAGTTCAGGAGCATTGGCTGTTCTTCCTAGAGGTGCCCTCTTCTGGCCTGCAGGTGCAATGCAAGCAGAACACTGTATACATAATTATGTGAGCCCTCCAGGGGTCTGGGCAGCAGGGCTGGTCCCCAGATCCAATCAGGTTCACCTCCTTTCCATCTTTCTTTCCCTGCCTGCTCTCCAGGACCCTCTGGCCAGCTATGACTTCAATGACTATGACCCAGACCCCCAGCCTCGCTATACACCCAGCGATGAGAACCGGTAAGCTAGGCGCTGGTGTACCAGGGATTCCCTCAGCCGGTGGAAATGTCACGGTGGGCTGTGACATGGCTACTTTCCTCCTTGCCCTGGAATCAGGCATGGGACCCGCTGCGCTGGGGAGGTGTCTGCCACAGCTAACAATGGCTTCTGTGGTGCTGGTGTGGCCTTCAACGCCAGAATTGGAGGTACCAGGGGTGGAGGCTGGGGGATGTGAGGATAAGCTTGATCAATAGAGGAACGCCACTCCCAACCCCTCCCCCGTTCCCACCACGGGTTGCTAGGCAGTGCCAAGCCCCAAGCTGAGCGTGACTAAAAGGTGGCAGGGAGGTAGCCTAGTAGGGCAAGCAGTGTTGGTGCTGGAGCAAGGCCCACGCCCACCCGCGCAGGCGTGCGCATGTTGGACGGCACCATCACGGACATCGTGGAGGCGCAGTCCCTCAGCCTGCAGCCGCAGCACATACACATCTATAGCGCCAGCTGGGGGCCCGAGGATGACGGTCGCACGGTGGACGGACCAGGCATCCTCACTCGGGAGGCCTTCAGGCGTGGCGTGACCAAGGTGCACAGGGAGCGCACCGTGGGCGGAGGGGCCCCAACCCGGAGGTTGAAGGGCTGACTCCTTCTCTGGGGTCACTTCCCACGCAGGGCCGCCAAGGACTGGGTACACTGTTCATCTGGGCCTCGGGAAACGGTGGCCTCCATTACGACAACTGCAATTGTGACGGCTACACCAACAGCATCCACACGCTGTCGGTGGGCAGCACCACGCGGCAGGGTCAAGTGCCCTGGTACAGTGAGGCCTGCGCCTCCACATTTACCACCACCTTCAGCAGCGGAGTGGCCACCGACCCACAGATCGTGAGCACCCAGCCAAGCCCGCAGCAAGGCCCCGCCCCCGTAGAGACCTCACCAGACCCCGCCCCAGGCTTCAACCTAGCTAGGTCCACCCACAAGACCTAGCCCACACAGGCCTGCCCCTCCCGACCCGGCTCGGGCTCACAGCCCCTCCGACCCCCTCCAAACTAGACGCAACCATGTCGGCCCACTCCTCTGCCTCCCTGGGCAAGATCCGCGCCAATGCCTCTGCTGGAGTCGGCTCCCTGGTCTCGCACGCCACCGTCACACACGGGGCCTCTGCCCCCTACCCACCTGGTGTCTGCAGTTGTGCTTCCTGCCTCCGCACTTCTGTCCCCCAGACTGAAGTCTCAGAATTTGGCACTTTTTCTTTTCTTGGTGTTTTCGAGTCAGGGTTTCTCTGTGTAACCGCCCTGGCGGTCTTGGAACTCGCTCTGTAGAGCAGGCTGGTCCCGAACTCAGAGAGTTGACTGTTCTTGCCTCCCAAGGGCTGGGATTAAAGGAGTGCGCCACCACTGCCGGGCTGGTTTTCGTGTTTTTTTTTTTTTTTTTTTTTTTTTTTTTTGAGATGTAGGGCCGTGTATCATTATGAACTCAGTGCTCGGTGGTTTTGGAAACTAGTCCTTAGTCCTCAGTACTTGTTAAACCTAGTTATTCGTAATCACCATACATGAACCAGGCTAGCCTAAAAGTCCCAGCTATGCCTGCCACAGCTCCACAAGTGCTGGGTTTGAGCGCCTGCATCACCCGGCCCAACTGGGGCTTTTAGTACCCTTTGAGCTTAGTCCTCGGTGTCTTCATACTTAGCTCAATCTTCAGCACTTTGTGAACTTAGTCCTCCATCTGGGCCGCCACTGGGCTCAAGATCCTTCTGCTGTCTGTCACCAGGTCACCACGGACCTGCACCACCAGTGTACCGACAAACACACGGGCACCTCAGCCTCCGCCCCGCTGGCCGCAGGCATAATCGCTCTGGCTCTGGAGGCCAAGTAGGTGACCTGGGGCCCCGCCCACCGCCCCGCCCCCACGGGCGGCGCCCGGCTCACCCGCCCTCGCCCCCCCAGCCCGCTCCTGACCTGGAGGGACCTACAGCACCTGGTGGTCCGCGCGTCCAGGCCGGCGCAGCTGCAGGCGGAGGACTGGAGGATCAACGGCGTGGGGCGCCAAGGTGCGGCGGGGCCAGGGAGGGGACTGGGGTGCCGTACATGCAGGGCGAGTGACGGCTACCCCTCCCGCGCAGTGAGCCACCACTACGGCTACGGGCTGCTGGACGCAGGGCTGCTGGTGGACTTGGCTCGCGTGTGGCTGCCCACGCAGCCACAGAAGAAATGTGCCATTCGGGTGGTGCACACCCCAACGTGAGGGAGGCCCCGTCCCCACCCCGCCCCACTAGGGGAAGCCCCAGCCACGCCCACTGGAGGGAGGCCCCCCCCCCACATTCCAAGGAGGCAGGGAGGATGTCCCAAAACCTCAGTTTACCCATCTAAGGGAGGAGAGTGCCCTCAGATCCTTCGACCCCCCACCCCACCCAGACCCGCCACCGGGCCCACGGCAGGCCCCCAGGACCGTCCTCACCTTACCAGCTCCATCCTGCCTCGGATGCTGGTGAGGAAGAACGTGTCCGCGTGCTCCGATGGCTCGCACCGCCTCATCCGCTCGCTCGAGCACGTGCAGGTCCAGCTGTCACTCTCCTACAGCCGCCGCGGGGACCTGGAGATCTCGCTCACCAGCCCCATGGGCACACGCTCCACGCTCGTGGCCATCAGGTGTGAGATCCTCCCAAGGGACCCTGTGGAAACTAGTCCTTAGTCCTCAGTACTTGTTAAACCTAGTCATTCGTATTCACCATACATGAACCAGGCTAGCCTAAAAGTCCCAGCTACGCCTGCCACAGCTCCACAAGTGCTGGGTTTGAGCGCCTGCATCACCCGGCCCAACTGGGGCTTTTAGTACCCTAGCCTCCTGCAGGTGGTACCCTATGAGGATGGGACTCAGAAGACACGTGTTAGCCACCATTCTTCCTGTCTCTCCCTTGCCACCCTTTGGCCACAGACCCTTGGATATCAGCGGCCAAGGCTACAAGAACTGGATCTTCATGTCCACCCACTACTGGGATGAGGACCCACAGGGCCTGTGGACCCTGGGTCTAGAGAACAAGGGCTACTATTTTAACACAGGTGAGAGAGTGGGCTGTGGCTGCCAGCCTGTGGCTGCAGGGCTGGGGACTCTGTTTTGGTTTACCTACAGCTACAAGTCCCACAACCCAGTGGTTTTCTCAGAGAGTCCATGTAACAGTTACTTTAGCACACAGTAGGTGTTGTTACCTAGAGGATGGTTGAGTCCCAGTCACTGGTACACAGTAGGGCAACTTGGGGGAGGGAGGCTCTGGCCACTGGCACACAGTAGGTGTACTAACATGGGGGAAGTGTGGATCTGGCCATTGATGCATAGTAGGTATAAGGTTTCCTGAAGGAAGTGGATGGTGGTGGGGGTCTGAGCACAGTGGCACACAGTAGGTGCAGTCACCTGAGGAAAGGAGGGAAGCCTGGCTATCGATAGACAGTAGGTGTGCAAAAACCTGGAAGAATCACGGGGGTGGTCTGACCAGGGGTAAGTAACAAGTTATCTACTGGAGGGGTATAATGAGGTCTGGCCACTAGCACACAGTAGGTGACTCTACCTTGGGAAGCTGGGGAGTCTGGCCACTAGCACACAGTAGGTGGATAGCAGCCAGGCTCAGCTGACATGGCCCTGGGTGGGAGCCACTGAGACTGGCTACAGAGCCAGGCAGGCCACTGACAGCATGTCCCCCTTGGTGCCCACCGTGACCCCTGCCCAGGAACTCTGTTCTACTACACGTTGCTGCTGTATGGGACGGCCGAGGACATGACAGCGCGGCCTCAGGGCCCCCAGGTGACCAGCCGCACGTGTGTGCAGAGGGACACAGAGGGGCTGCGCCAGGGTGAGTGGCCGCAGCGCATGGTCACTTGTTGGGGGAGGAGGCGCAGCAGCCCCGGGATGGGCGGGCGGGCACTGGCTGTACCTCCAGCTGCAACCTCATCCCTGTCTCCCTTCTGCCCCATACAGGAATTCACGGTTCCTCCACCACCCTGGCCTGGCTCTGCCTCATCTCTAGCTGAGAGTGATGGTGGCTCTACAGCCACACAGAACAACCAGTGACCGAGGGACAGGCCAGCTGTCACCCTCCTCTTCACCTGCTGAGGCAGCTGACCAGCAACTATGCTGCCTGTCCCCTGTTCTTCATGCTGGACAAGCTCCAGGGCTCCTCCAAGGCCTGCTACCTCTGGCGGCCATCCCAGCTACCAGTCCTGGGCCATGATGCTGGCCCAGCTGGCCAGGGCCTTCAGGAGACCCCTCTCAGCTTGAGGAAGGCCCACCTACCCTAGGCTAGACACCCCAATGCCCGAGACCCTGAAGGCTGGGGAACCAGAGATGCCTGACTCAAAGAACAGAGGGCGGTACCCGAAGGCCCCGCTCCCAGGTTGGAATAGGACCCTGCCCCAGAAGGCCTTGGCAGATCAGCAGCAGCCCACTGCGTGGGCCATGGCTACGCCCAGTGGAAGAGGTGTCTCCTTACGCATTTTGGAGCAGGACAAGGGGTGCAGTGGACAGAGGTCAAACCACAGCCACTAAACATCTGTCCCTTCCTGCCCAGAACCGTCCACAAGCCCCATGTCTGACCTCATAGTTGGCAAATAAAAGTTAAATAGATGTCAAGTTTGTGGTGTTCTTCAGGGTAGGGGGTGCACAGGGTCACCCAAATAAGACAAGGGCCCTGGAGGACTACAGAGCCATAAAGGGAGTAAAGAGACTACTCCAGGCCCAGAGACCCCCGGTGGGAGGAGAGAGCCTGGGCCAAAGTATGGCCCACCGCCCATTCCAGTGCCGAGATACAGCACAGCCACAACGAACAGACTAGCTGAGATACCACAGCCACGAGCAGACTAGCTGAAATACCACAGCCACGAGCAGACTAGCTGAGATATCACACAGCCACGAGCAGAAGACTAGCTGAGATACCACAGCCACGAGCAGACTAGCTGAGATACCACAGCCACGAGCAGACTAGCTGAGATACCACAGCCACGAGCAGACTAGCTGAGATACCACAGCCACGAGCAGACTAGCTGAGATATCCCACAGCCACGAGCAGAAGACTAGCTGAGATACCACAGCCACGAGCAGAAGACTAGCTCTTTTCTCCCTTTCTTTCGTTGATGTTGGTGTGCTGGTTTTCGAGACAGAGTAATTAACTCACTCTAGACCAGGCTGGCCTCGAACTCAGAGACCCGCCTGTCTCTGCCTCCTGAGTACTGGGATTATATGCCTGTGCCACCACTCAGGACAAAGAAACAAGGTCCCTGGAATACGTTACCCTGTGGATAGGCACCACCCAGTATTTATTGAGCGCCCACTATGTACCTGGCAGTGGTTAGTTTCTGCCCTACCAGGGGGACGCGAACTCACGCTCAACACTCGCGCCTCCTGCCATTCGTGGTCAGGGGAAGCCTTTGATCCTTTTAGACAGCTCTTAGGAACGCCTAGGCCTAGGGCTCTTTAAGACCGGGGAGCGGTTTCCCGAGGAGCGGAGTTGGAGAGGACCGGAAGTGCAAGAACGCAGCGGCGCTCAAACAGGAAGCGGAAATGGTGGCGATTTGGAGTAGGAGTCTTAGGGGGCTCAGTTAGCCCGGGTTTAAAGCAAACTCTCAGACCCCGGGAGAGGAGAAGGCGAGACGAGGAATGGGCCTCGGCACAGGGCCATAACGAGTGCATAGAGGTTCGCAGGGTGGGAAGGCCAAGTGGAGAGCGGACCTGCTGCCAGCGCGCGCTCCTCCGCCTGCAAGATGAGCTCCAAAGGCAAGAAACGCGTGGTGCTGCCCACGCGCCCCGCGCCGCCCACGGTGGAGCAGATCCTGGAGGACGTGCGAGGGGCGCCCCCCAACGATCCTGTTTTCACCGCCCTGGCCCCAGAAGGTAGGAGAGCGCGAAACTGCGGGGTCCCAGCCTGTCCGAGTAGGGAGCAAACCTGATTGCAACCAGGCCCCAGGGACGAATCTTTTGCTTCTCTGCTAGCGGCCCCTCTGACTCTGTCATGTGGGGTCACCAGAAGCAAAGGTGAAGGGCCGGCGAACTTGATGACTTAAGCCAACCTAGGAGTCGGGGGCGGGAGGATTGCTGTGGGTTCAAGACCTTGTCTCAAAGGGAAAAAGGTAAAAAGCCCAAGCCCAGTGGCTCCTACGTGGAAATCTGGGGAAACGATACATGCAGGAGCTGTTTTCTGTGATTCCTCTAGAATCCAGGAACCCAAGCAGTCCTGGGTGGGACATCAAGGGTCCTGTCCTCTGGGTGACTCCGAAGCATGGGGTTTTGTCAGGCCTGTAACTGACTCTATTTTTCTAGGGCCTAGACAGGTCTCATGTAGCCCAGGCAGGGCTCCAACAAACTGTGTAGCCAAGGACGACTTCCAACCCCTGACCCACCGTTTCTCCTCTCCAGAACCCCCAGATCTATCTCCAAGGGCCGAGGACCCTGAGGCCTGGCTCGAGCAACTCTATCAACAAAGCCGGGCCTATGTGGCCATGAATGAGAGGCTGCGGCAGGCGGGGGACACACTGAGGCAGAAGTTCAAGGACCTTCGGCAGGCTGATAAGAGGCTAGAACAGGATGTTAGCCAGGTGACCTCAGCCACCTCCTAGAGACGAGGCTACACCTGAGGACGGCCGTCCAGCTCCAGGCACCTTGGCAGCCTTTGTTCCCTCTTCCATCCTTGATGGCCTCCAAGTTGGGGTGGGACTTACGGTCATGGCCACCTCTTCATTCATGGGGGCATCAGCCTGGATGGCGTCCAGGACTTGGCAGAGGTTGGGGCTCAGAACCAACCTGCCCCACAGTGGCCAGCCCTCTGCTCCTACTTCCGCCTCATGTTGGCCTGGGCAGCGAGGGTCTCCATCCCCAGCATCTGCAGCAGGCCAGAACCTGTATGTCCAGCCTCACCGTGGTTGACTGCCTCCTTCTGGCTCGGGTCCTGCAGGGTCCTGCTGTCTTGCCTGCTCTCTGGTCTCATCTCCCTGGGGTGGAGGGAACTCGGCTAGGGGGTTTTCACTCTGGGGAGTCCAGGAGTACGGGAGGAGCCCAGAGGCGGGGTGACAGTGCATGGATCCCTGCGGGGGCCTGTGTCCTGCAGGCTCTGCTGGACACCCACAGGACGTGGTGGACGTTACCCTCTGGACTGGGGCTTCAGTTGACCTTGCTGACCTACTGCTCTGGAGTGAGCAGGCTTTGTTTTTGGAAAATCAGAGAAAATTCTGGGTCTCACCCCCCCCCCCCCCCCCGTGAGCTGGACCCTGGATCACTAGGGCCCAAGTCCACTCCAGCCCCTTTGCGCCTTAGGCGCTGGCCACCCCACACGCTTCCTCACGTCCCAAGATGACTGGGACTGTTTGGCTTGTGACTTATTCCTGCCGTTCCCATTCCTAGTGGTCACAGAGTGTTTACTCTGGGTTCCCGGATCCCGGCCCCCACAGCTCGTCAGTGGCTGATGTCCAAAAGCAAATGGCCAGGTGTGGTTTGGCTGACCCTGACGCGACCTTGGCTCTAGCAACTGTCGGTTCGCAGGGAGCTTGGGCCCCTGCACCAGCAGCGCCTTGTAGCTGCAGTAGAAGGTTCTAGAATGACCTCCCCCATCCAGAGCCCATGTTGACGATTAACAGCCCAAAGTGACTCAATGGCTTGCTTTATTAAAGATGTGAACGAGAACCAGAAGCCAGGCTGGGTGTCCTGCCAGGTTGTCTACATGGGGTGGGGGTCAGTATGTACAGAATATTAACCCTGTAGGACGGGACAGAGGGGGGCAGCGGCAGAGGACAAACCAACCAGGTGTGAGCAGGGGGGTGACATTGGCCGCCGGACAGTGTGAAAGACAGGACAGGGGGTGAGGTAATCAGGCGTGTCGCCCTGTTCAAGCACCCAGTGGACCACTGGTCTCCAGCTTAGGGTGCCTGCTGCCATTGCCAGCCTGGAGGACAGCGGACACTCCAGAGGCCGACTGGCCCCGCCCCCTGGCTTTGGTTAACCCTTCAGAATCCACTGTACCATGCCAGCTCTTCCTACCCTGGTCTGGATGTTGCTCTGTAGCTTGTGTGTCCCCAACTGTGTGGGGTGGCGAAGGCAAACATGGCCGACAGGGCAGGAGGCTAGAAGAATGATGGGCCTTGCGTGCTGGTGCCATGGTCCAGCCTCTGCTCCACCTGGGGTCTCACAGTGCGTGGTTTACAGGTCAGTCTGCAGATAAGGTTCCCCCCTCTCCAGCCCCAGCTGGACATCTGCCTCCTGCTGTGTCCCACCACGGGGGCGCCCTGGGGTGCTTGGTGGGTACCTTGCTGCTTAGTCGCTCCCTGCCAGTCCCCCACAGAGCCCTGTCCAGCAGGCAAGGTCCTGGGATTGAAGACTTGGTACCTGGTGTTCCTGCTGTGGAGTCGGCCGTAGTGGTGCCCCCTAGTGGTCAGTGTGCCCAGGTGTGATGGCAATGGTGATTGTGGATCTGTCAATCCCCCCATAAGAAGGACTTGGGGAGGGACAGCGGCGTCTGTGGTCCTTCTGAGGACCTTCTTAAAACCACTTCCCTCAGCAGGGGCTTGAGACCAGCTCAAGGAGCAGTGTCCTTCTCTGGGAGCAATTCCTGCCGATGGCCGTGGTTACAGGTCCCACAGGGGAGAGGTTGTTGGTGCTCTCTGCAGGAAGACATACTGAGCTGAGACCCACAGCCTGGGTCCTCAGAGGCCTGCCTACCTTGCTCTTATCGGCCTCCATCTGCTGGTGGGAAAGCCCCCCATGACAACACTCAGGCCCTCGTGGGTGTTTACCCGCCTGGATTCCAGACTTGGCGAGCCAGGGATGAGGATCCTACACCCTGACACTTCCGTGAGAAGGACCAGGCTCCTCCCCGTGGACGCTGGCTGCCTAGTCCTGCTCCCTTGAGCCCCCAGAGCTGTCCAGCTGGCAGCCAGTGTGTCCTCAGAACTAGTCCCTCCTCTGTGATAGTGAAGGGACACAGGGGACCAGCCATGATGAAGGAGTGCTTGGTGAGCAGCTTGGCCACGCCCCTCACCCAGCACTCCTCAGCTGCCTCTGGGAAGGCAAACACGCCTGGCAGAGTCCTCATTAACCAATTACCCGAGCACTAATTACAGGCTGGGCCGGGCTGAGGGAGCGCCAGCTGCCAGGATTTCACTACCCTCACCACAGCTCGTGCCCGCCCACCCACTGGGTGCAGCCCAGGGCAGGTCCTGCATAGAGCCTACGGTTTCTGTGCCCTGTGTCTGTCTACAGCCGATCCCCTCAAGCCCCGGGCATAGAAGCAAGGGCTGGCTCTAAGGTGCAGAGATGTGAGCTGGACAGGAGCTCTGAGGGCATAGCTGTGCCTACTCAGGGCATCTGGAGAGCAAGCCCCCCGGGAAGCCAGACTGTGCCACAGGGCGAAGAGAGAATGTTCCAGAAGGTTGGCCTACACTCACTACTCCAGGAGGCTGGCTGGAGGGGCTTTCTCCATGGCAGAGTCGCTGGCTTCTGTGGCCACCACCATAGGGCTGGGCACATAGTTGAAGGGGGGAACTCGTGCAGCCCTGCTGGGGGACCCATGCCTGCTGGTGGGAAAGCCCCCCATGACAACATTCAGGCCCTCGTGGGTGAAGGGCGCTGAGGCAGGTGGCTTGGTGAGGGCTGGCCCGTCCACATCGCTGCCCAATGGAGCCGCAGGGCCGCTGGCCGGAGCCTGAGGGGGGTCCCTGCTTTCCAGGCTGGGCGAAGTGCTGGAGTTGGTCTTAGGGGTGGCAACATCCTCTGTTTGTACCACTGCGTCACTGGTCTTGCGCTGTGGAGTCCCAGCAGGGCCGTCCTCAGGTGATGAACCCCTGAGGGGCAGGGCAGTGGCAGGCAGCGTGCTACGAAGGATGTGGGGGACATCTTCATCTTTGATACGACGCCAGGTGGTCCCAGGTGCAGCCACCCTGGGCAGTGGCCTGGTTTCTCCATCACTTCCCCGGCGAGTGGTATTGGCATGGATGGTGGGCACAGAGACAGCGTTATCTGGCCTGCGGGCGACGCTGATGTGTGGTAGGGACGCATACCGCTTGACTGTCTCAGGCCGCCCAGGAGGTCCCCGTACAGGCAGGCGGGAGGGGCTCTCAGAGCTGGTGCGCCTGGGCGCCCGTGGAGCAAGACCTGGCTTGGCCTGCGCCGCCCTCTGTGGCGCCAGGGGCCGTGGGGACGCGCGCAACTCATCACAGCGAGAGGAGCAGAGGAAGACAGCAGGGAGCGCAGGCCTTCCGCGGCGGGGCGAAGCAGCCTGGGAGGTGGAGGCTGTGGAGTCCGCAGAGGACAGTTCCGATCTGCGGCGACGAAGACCTGGAGATTCCTTGATGAAAGTCAGCTGCCTGCGGAAGCCCGAGCGGTCTGAGGACTCACTGCCACTGGAGCGGGCTGAGGCTAGGCGCACTAGGCCCAGGCGACCACCGCGCACTCCAGAAGCCCCCTCAGTCCCCGTTCTTCCCCTAGGTCCAGGCTCTGGGGATGGCCTGGCCAGTGGTGGCGGCCCTCGCTTGACTGGTCTTTGCATGAATGGGATCCGAACAGGTGACTTCTGGGTCTTGTGTTGCTTAGCCAAAAGGGCCCGGGCCGGTGACTTGGGCACGGGAGACCCTCCAGGGCCAGGCAGAGGCCCTACAGTTGGAGTGGCCAGAGGAGACCTCCTGGGTAGGGGCTGGGACGCTGGCGAAGTCTGTGAGGAGCTTGAGGATGGCGTCTTGACGAGGCGGGCTGGAGGGGTCGCACTCCTTGGTGGATGGCTCAAGGCTGCCACCTCTGAGATCTTACCTGGCCGGTGGAGGCTCCGTGAACGCTGCTGTCCAGGGCTGGGAGTTTTGGTGGCAGTTTCTGGCTGAGTGGTACCAGATGTTCCCACCTTCTTAGGTGTGGTACAAGGGCCGGAAACTCCTTTGAACTGAGCCCGGGAGGCTGGGCTGGCTGTGTAGATCACCGTCCGTCCCCGGAGCATTCCTGGCTCCCTTGCCATCATTTTCTGGGTACCCTTTGGCTTCTCGGGGCCACTAGGACACCGCGGACTCCCACTGATCTTGGTGGAAGTTGCACCCCGTTTATCTGGACGCCAGACACCCCCAGCCTCTGCCCCAGAGTTTCGCATTTTCCTGGGTTTCGAGGGCTGTAAAGTGGAGCCTGCTGACAGCCCAGACACCAGAGACAAGAGGGAGTCAGACTCAGAAGACGCCTCCAGGCTGGCCTTGGCTGCTGCCTGGTGCAACCACGTGACGATGGAGTTCGCACCCTCTTGGATGGCCTGCCACTCAACACTGTCTAAGTCGGAGGCTGGATCAGAGCCAGGCACCTCCTCACGGCATTTCCGGGGTATCTCAGTGGTTGGCACATCGGACCGCGCAGCTCTGGGCTTGCGACGTCGCAAGCCAGGTACTTGGGTTCGGCGCCTGGGCAGAGCTAAGCCGACACACCTCTGCGGTAGTTCCTCCTCCGCCCTTGGGCTAGGAGAACTGTCCCGTTTACTGCCCAGGCCAGGGTCCTTGGTGGCTGCCTGTTCCCAGCCTCGGGGATGGCTGGACGGCTGTTCAGAGGCCTCCAGCTCACTGAGGGAGCTAGCTGAGGAATAGCAGGGTGGAGTCTCATCCACGATTAGTCTGGGCTGAGCCCTCACAGGTGGTGTGGCAGGCTGTGATGCCCTGGATGGGGTCTCCTTCCTGCCTATGGGTTTCTCACGTTTAAGAGCCCGTGGGATGGCAGACGCCTGCCGGGGTGGTGGTGCCGTGGCTGGGGGTTCCTCATCAGAGTCATAGAAGCAGTACACAGCTTCCTCTGTGGGTGTTGTGAGGCACAGTGACTGCAGAGCACCGTCCCCACAGGTCCGGGGCTGGCATGAGCCATCCCTGTTGGATCGAGCACTCTGTGACCTGCTGAGGGGCAACTCCAATCGTGCCCGGTTCCTCCAGGCACCTCGGGTGTGCTCCGTACTCTTACCAGTGCCTGCTGCTTTGGGTCGGTGCCCACGGACCTGCCGGGCAGGGGCGGGACGGCCTGTGGGTTTCTGCCTTTCTCCAAGCCCTCCTGGCTTGTCCCTGGAGGGTCCCTGTAAGGTCTCATCACTGAGCGACGCAGCACTGGAGAAGTTGACAGGTGTGCCCTCGGCGGAGTCAGTGCCAGAGTCATCGTCCCGAGCCGGGGCCGGCACTAACATGTACACGGGGACTGGCAGGGCGCGGCGGCCAGGCACCAAGGCAGAGACCACCTTGCGGAGCCGGGCGGGCATGGCCGCCCCCAGACATTCACGCAGTACCTCCAATTCTTTATCAACTGCTGACCGAGCCCGAGAACCAACGGGTGCTGGGCAGTCCATGCGGCAGGCAGCCTCATCCCTCCGATGGTGTCCCCCGCCACCCCCTGCACGCTCTGGGCAGGCTGGTGGCCTCAGGCGCAGTTCCACGTCCTGCTGAACATACAGCTCATGCAGGGCTAGCGCGCTGAGGCTGGAAGCACAGGAGAAGTTCTCGTCCGGCTTCTCCACTGTGAAGCGCACGCTGCCTGCATCCAGCTCTGAGGGCGGCTGGCATCGCTCCCGACAGTCTGCGATGTCTAGGAAGCGCTTCACGTAGCTCTCCCACTGCAGGCTGAACTGGCTGGTCTCAGGCTGGCCGGGAGGCGCTGGTGGCGTCTTGCTGCGGCTTGGTGGCATAGTCTGCCCGGGGCTGTCGGGCAGCTCACTGGGACTCACTGTGCCACTGCCCAGCCCACTGCACGGGTCACTGGGGATGGAGCTGGCAATGGAGCGGCTCTCGAAGCTGCCCAGAGAGCTCACAGAACTACAGCGGCTCAGGACCAAGGGTGTCTCCTGGACGCAGTTCTCCGATGAACTGGATGGTGTCGCATCCTCCACCCCAAGACCTCGACTGCACCCCCGGCGGGGGGCTGGGATGGACATGGGCAAAGAGGTGGACCCGGATGCTTGCCACGCCCCATCCAGCTCCGCCTCACCAGGGCCCGTCTCCTCCAGCCCCTCCAGGGATGAATCACTGTCATCGAGGTTCCCAGCTTGGCTGGGGCCAGCATGGCCAGTGGAAGACAGAGAGGACAGTGAGCTGCACCGGGAGAGTGACATTGGCCCATCCTGTGCCACCAGCTTCTGCAGCACCTTGCTAGCCGCGGGCAGCGGAGAGGTCACCAGTTTCTCGGGGACTTTGCTCAGGCTATCTGCAGGTATCCACGCTTGTTTCCAAGCTCCTGGGGAGGCTCCGGGTCCAGCGAGGGGTCTGATACCCGTCCCAGTGGCACCGTCGAGCAGTGGTACATGCTGATAAGTTGGGGATAGTTTGATGGTACACACGCGGGCATCAGCGGCCGCTGTGTCCCGGGCAGGCAGTTCAGCCCGGCTGGACAGGTCCAGGTCCAGCCGGCTGGGCCGAGTCTGCCCGCGCAAGGGATCATCGTGGTGCTCAGCCAATGCAGCCAATGGACAGGGCCGCATGTGTTCCCGGGGACAATAGCCATCGCTAGTGCTACCACTGTTCAGGCTGTCATTGGAGAGGCTGGTGTGGGCCGCCTTGAGCCTCAGCAGAGGGTGTCCCCGGCTGCTGGCCTCACGCCGCCCCCCTTCAGTGCCCCGGCATGGCGAGCAGGACTGGGCACGACCCTCCCTTGGTGCCTCCTGCCCAGGGTCCCCAGAGCTGAGGCTGAAGCTGTCGTCTGATGAGGTGTGCAGGGCAGAGATGTCCTCCACTAGTCGGTCGATCCGAGCCACGGCCAACGCCAGCTTGGCCTTAGCTTTGGCAGCCACAGCTGCCTCCCCACCAGCCTCCTTCTCAGCTTCTAAGCCACCCTGGCGGGCAGGCTGAGTGCGGGCCAGTGCCTGGCCCTGAAGAAAGGGACTGCCAAGGAACATAGATAGCACCGCCGGGCTGGCGGGCTCGGCTGTGGTGGCCGCAGCAGCCAGAGATGGCGCGTCGTCATCATCAAAGCAGCCAGAGTCAGAGGCATAGTCCTGCACCAGCCCATCTAGGTGGCGAAGGGGTGGCAGGGGCTTCTTTGAAGTCGTCTCTACCTCAGGCAGACCCTGCTTCTCCAGGTGGCCCAGCGCATGCGCCAGGCGCCTGGTGTCCAACTCAGCTTCCAGTGCCCTCTGCTTGCGGACATACAGGCTGGGCACGCAGGTGCCCGGGGAGATGGCTGTAGCTGCTGCCTGGTACTTGGCAGGTCGGTGGGCCAGCAGGTTCCGCAGAGCGGCAGCACTACCCATGGCGATCATCTTGTGTTTAGAGTGCACGAGGTTGCGCAGCATGCCCACAGCCCCCAGGTCCCACAGCAGTTCCTGGTCCCGGGGGCTGCGGGCCGACAGGTTCCAGAGTGTGCCACAGGCGTTGCTCACGATGGTCAGGCTGTGCGACGTGAGGTGCTGTAGCAGTGTTTGTAGGCAATTGTGATCACGGAGCACCTGCCTGGAGGAGCCCAGAGCACAAGGAAGGTGGGCTTGGGTACCCCAGCCCTGTGGAGCCCACCATCCACACCACACTGCAAATCAACCCATATCCGCTATAGCCCGAGGTAAGGTCACCAGTGCAGCTCCCAGCTCGGGCACGCTCACCTGCTCTGCCATGCCCACCCTGGCCACCCACACCCCTCGCTCTGCTACACCTGCTTCTACTTCTCTGAGCCTTTAACCAAGTCAGGTCTACCCCTGCCTGTGATGAAGCCAATCCCAATTCTGTGTTGCTAAACTCCTAGGCCTGCCACGCCCACCCTGCCTGCTGTGGTCTAGCCACGCCCACACCCATCTGTCAGACCCCTGCTCAACCAGGTCTACCTCTATTGCTAGCAGCAGGTAGCCTAGCCACACCCCTGTCACGCCTACCATCAGAATGGACCCACTAGATTGGGCGCAAGTTTGAACTTGAGAAAAATGAAATAGCAGTAGCTAAGCATAGCTGCCCCACACTGCGTGTCATGCTCAGTTGTTTGGTTTTGTTTTGAGGAAGACTCTGAGGAGGCTGAGGCGAACTTTAAAATCAGTTGCTAGCTGGCACTGCCCTCCCTGTGTCAGGTTCATAGGCGTGTGTCCCGTACCATCATACCTGTATTATTTATTTAGCTTGTTTTTTTTTTTAAACTTATGGGACTGGAGAGATGGCTCAGAGGATAAGAGCACTGGCTGCTCTTCCAGAGATCCCAAGTTCAATTCCCAGCAACCACATGGTGGCTCATAACCATCTGTAATCAGGTCTGGTGCCCTCTTCTGGCCCTCAGGAATACATACAGGCAGAATATTGTATATATAATAAATAGATAAATCTTTAAAAACGTACTTGGTCTTATTTTTATTTACTTTTTCTTATTGATTTGCATTGGTGTTTTGCCTGTATGTGTGAGGGTATTAGAGATCTTGGAGTTACAGACTGTGAGCCACCATGTGGGTGCTGGGAATTGAACCCAGGGCCTCTGATGAAAGAGCAGTTAGTGCTCTTAACCCCTGAGCCACCTCCCCAGCCCTTACCTTTGGTTTTTGAGACAGGGTTTCTTAGTGTAACTACCCTGGCTGTCCTGGAACTCACTCTGTAGACCAGGCTGGTCTCGAACTCACAGATCCCCACCTACCTCTGCATCCCGAGTGCTGAGATTAAAGGCGTGCGCCAGCCGGGCGGTGGTGGCGCACGCCTTTAATCCCAGCACTCGGGAGGCAGAGGTAGGCGGATCTCTGTGAGTTCGAGGCCAGCCTGGTCTACAGAGCTAATTCCAGGACAGGCTCCAAAGCCACAGAGAAACCCTGTCTCGAAAAACCAAAAAAAAAAAAAAAAAAAAAAAAAAAAGGCGTGCGCCACCACCGCCCGGCTAATTAATGATTTTATCACATGTGTAAGGGTGTTTTGCCTGTGTAGAAGTCTGTGCACCATGTGTGTGCAATCCCCACTGATGCCAGAGAGCCTCGGAACTGGAGTTACAGGTGGTGAGCTGCCCAATCTAATGCTGGGAACTGAACCCAGGTTAGCTCAGAGTACTTACTGAGAAGCACCTAGTACCCCATCCTACCCACCCTTTCTCCTCTCTTCTTTGTTTCTTTCTTTGTTTCTTTGTTTCTTTCTTTCTTTATTTTTTTATTTTAAAATATTTATTTATTATGTATACAATATTCTGTCTGTATGTCTGCAGGCCAGAAGAGGGCACTAGACCTCATTACAGATGGTTGTGAGCCACCATGTGGTTGCCAGGAATTGAACTCAGGACCTTTGGAAGAGCAGGCAATGCTCTTAACCACAGAGCCATCTCTCCAGCCCTTTTCTTTCTTTCTTTATAGAAAGCATCTGATATGTTAGTTCCGGCTAGCCTGTGCTTCCCTGGTGCTGGGTTCAGGAGCGAGCCTTGCCACGCCCCTATTATGAACATTACTTAACAACACGGTTTGTTTTATTCTATGTGTGCGGGTGTTTTGCCTGTATGTTGGTGCCTCCACTACATGTGTCTGGTGCCAACAGAGGCAAGAAGAGGGCACGGGATTCTCGGAGCTGGAGTTACAGATGGTCACAGCTGCTGGGAAGCAAACACAGACCCTCTGCAAGAGCAGCCAGTGGTTTAACTACTGAGTTACTTCTCCAGCACCAACAATACGATTTTAACTTACGCAGTCTAGGGCTAGGTGCTGACTGGCGCACGCCTTTAGTCCCAGCATGTGGGAAGCAGAGACTGGCAGATCTCTGAGTTTGAGGTTAGTCTGGTCTACAGAGTGAGTTCCAGAATAGCCAGGGCTACAAAGAAACCTTGCCTCAGTGGGGAACAGCTGGCCTCGAACTCACTGAGAACCTCCTGTCTCTGCCTTCCTGGTGCCGGGATTAAAGGTGTGTGCCCTCAGGCCAGGCCTCCCATGTAATCTTCCTGTGCTGTTTTTTGTAATCCACTTTGTCAACTGGATATGAGCCTAGACACAGCCCAGGTGAGGGGCCCCATCAGGTTGGTCTGTGGGAATTTTCTAGATGACGAGGGAGGGCCCAGCCATGGTGAATGGGGCCACCCCTGGGCTTGTGGTCCTGATGTACAAGGAAGCAGGCTGAGCAAGCAGTAGGCAGCACACCTCCATGGTTCCTGCCTCTGCGTCTGCCCTGAGATCCTGTCTTCCCTCAAGGATGGGCAGTGAACCCTCTCATGGTGTTTACCATGGAGTCCTAAGACACCGTGTGTTACATCCTCTTGGTACATATGAGGTAGCAGCTGCCACCTGCAGCCCCCCCCCATGCCATCCCCTACCCCCAACCCTCTGCATAGCCAGGCAAATCATAGCGGGGACTGACCTGTAGTCCTCTCGGGTGGCAATGAGGCTTGACACATTGCGCAGGATCCCACCACCGCTCTCGATGACTGCCAGGGAGTTCCCTTGGCAACGGTAGGTGAGCGTGCTCACCAGGAAACCCAGTGCACCGTCCACCTGGCAAATGGCTGCCTTGTTCTCCGTGCTGTGCGCAGACAGGTTCCACAGTGCACTAAGCACACTCTTCAGGGTAGACTCCTGCGATGGGAGGGAAGGATGGTCAACATGAGGGGCCACAAAAGATCAACCGCCAAGCATGGTGGTGCAGGCCTGTCCTGCACTCTGGAGGCTGAGGCAGGAGGATTGCAAGTTCCAGGACAGCCTGGAATATCTGTAATGTGAATAATATGTTTAAAAGAATGCTATGAAAGTAGCTCTATGGTAGAGCCCTCCCAGAATCCCCAGTGAGGGGGCTGGGGGCGTGGTCAGGGTGCAGCCCCGCCTAGAATCCCCAGTGAGGGTCAGGGGGCGTGGTCAGGGTGAAGCCCCCCCCCAAAATCCCCCAGTGAGGGGCTGGGGTTGCTTAGCAGTGAGGTTTCTTGTCTAAGGTATAAATACCACTACTCCAGTCCTCAGCAGTGTGGTTTAGGGCTGGAGGTTTCAGAACTTTAGGATTACCTAATTTTTCCCAGGGTCTCCCTATTCTGAGCCTGTGTCTCATGACAGTGGCTGTGGTGACTTCCTCTGACTTCTCCAATCCCCTGCCACCCATGCTCACCTTGGAGGCCCGCAACACACACTCCATAAGGGCGGTCATGCTGCCGACTTCCCTCAGCACCTTCTTGCTGTTGATGTCGGCCCTCCACGACAGATTACGCAGGATACTGGACACAACCTGGCCCGGGTGGCAGGGGCAGTCACAGAGGACCCAGGGTCCAGGATCCAAAGGCACCCCCTCTTCCCACCCACTTTGACCCTGGTGTCACCCACTCCCACCCTGCCCCGGGTACCTGATGAAGCTCCTCACTCTCAGAGGCCAGCTGAGCCACGATGGCTTCCATGCAGCCTCGACGGGCACACAGTGTAGCCTGTTGGGATTGACACGGTTGCTGTCCTAGCAGCGGCAGCAAGGGACGCCCCTGTTCTTTCTCTCCCTTCCTCATGGGTATGCAGACGAAAGTGATGCCCCGATAGGAAGAGGCCGCTGGACTTTGCCAGCCCAGAGGTCTCAAGTCTGCAGACAGTTGTCCTTGCCAGTATACATGTGAGCCCAAGAGAAACTCTTGCCAGCCTGTGCCCCTCTGTATGCCAGAAGTGACTCCCCACCTCCCAGGGCCACATCCAGGCTGGGGTGAAGTGGGGAAAGCCTCAAGAGGACACCTGAGCCCCACCCATCCTCCTCCTTCCCCTGAGAACCTTGTTGGCGACATCTCCAAAGGTGAGGTTGGTGAGAGTCATGCCAGCATAGCGGCGCAGGGCAAGGTTGAGTGGATCCCGGGTCATCTTATGCATCTCGTAATCCACCTGCAGTAGCTCCGCCACAGCCTGCAGCCCCCCTGTCGGAGGGGAAGGAAGGCAGATGAAGCAGAGAGGACGAGGCTTGTCCGGTGAGGCCTGTCTCTCCATTCTATGTGGACCACTTTCCCAGGTCTTTTGTTTTAATTGGTTTGGTTTTTCAAGACAGGGTTTCTCTGTGTAGCCCTGGCTTCCTGGAACTTGAACTCACAGAGATCCGCCTGCCTCTGCCTCCTGAGGGTTGGGATTAAAGGCGTGCGACACCACCACTGCCAGACTTCTTTCCCTGTTCTCATATGGTCCGACCCATGCTCTGTACCATGGCATTTAGAGGGGTCAATCAACCACTGTGTAAGGCCCAGGAGGGGGTGGGGTGGAGGGAGCTCACCTAGCTCATTCATAGCCCGACGGTATTCCTCATCAAAGGACAGCTTCATCACCGCACAGGTGGCCTGGCAGATCTGAGGTTCGATGGGCACAGGGGCTGTGGGCAGTGGCCAAGTTAGAGTCCCATTCCCGTAGTGATCCCTGAGTTTTCTTTTCCCTTGCCTCTCCCCGTGCTCTAATGCTTCAAACTCTGTGTAACGTCACACACTTGCTGAGTAATGGTGTCCTATACAGACGTCCACCTCATGGCTGTGGAGCTGCTGCCGCTTATATAACTGCACAGCAGAGATGGGTGAAGGAAACCCGCCGCTGTGCAGTAGCACAGGCCTGTTAGTTACTTCTTCAGCGCCCCTCCCCGAGCGAAGGCAGGAGAGTCACAAGTTCAAGGCCAGCCTGGACAAATTGGGAGGGCTGGTGGCCTGTCCCAGCAGTACAGTGCTTAGAATCCCCAGTGAGGGGCTGAGGGCGTGGCCAGGGTGGAGCCCCACCTAGAATCCCCAGTGAGGGGCTGGGGGCGTGGACAGGGTGGAGCCCCACCTAGAATCCCCCAGTGAGGGGCTGGGGGCGTGGTCAGGGTGGAGCCCCACCTAGAATCCCCAGTGAGGGGGCTGGGGGCGTGGTCAGAGGTAGAGAGTATTTTGTGCCTTCCTTTGCCCCACTGTCCCTTGGGCTCAGCTCACGCAGCTGAGAAGGTGCGCATCTGGTTGCTGTGCAGGTGCTTCCCACTCACCGTCTCCTGCACCACCCTCAGTCCCGCTGTTGCGCGCCTGCAGCCAGTCCCAGCAGGTCTCACAGTAGGCTCGTATCTGCTCCAGCACGTGCAGCACACGCATCTCCTTGCGCGCCAGGCCCTGATCGGGCTGGGAGAAAACAATGTTGTGCAGGGCTGCGTTGGCGCGCATGCGTGCATCTTTGGCACCAGGTGCGCCGGGGGTCCCCGCATGTCCCCCAGCCCCGGTCTCAGCGCCATGAAGTATCTGGAGTAACAGTGGCAGACAGCCTGAGCGGCGCATGGCTACACAGCTCTCAGGCGAGCTGGACATGGCCAGCAATGTGCGCGCTGTGTCTTCTTGGTCGCGTGTTGCCAACATGGATAGAAGCCAGAACACCACCTCCACCTGCAGGGCAACATGGGATGAGTGCAAAATGGCAGTGGGACCGTGCTCCGCCACTGTTGACATTCCCCTTCAAGAGGTGGCCCGGCCCGTGGGCCCGTATGAAGGCTCGGTAGGTAATGGCACTTGCCATCGAATCTGACGGAAGGGGAGAACCGACTCCTGCAAGTTGTCTTCTAACCTCATTACATCAAAACATGACCATCCCCCAAGGAGCCCACACTAAGCAGGGCACTTTAACCCCAGCTAGCAGGAAGCAGAGGCAGGCAGATTTAAGTCTGAAACCAGCCTTGTCTACACAGCGAGTTCCAGACCAGCCAGGGCTCCACTCTGTCCCAGAACAAAGACCTCTCGCCTCACAGAGAGAGAGTCTCCATCAACCGGGGTTGCCTGGGGACCCTCACCAGACGCCACTGGCAGTCCATGCTCGGATTTTCCCCTCTCACCTTGCTGTTGCCAGGCTGAGGGGTGCCATCCTCCGGGTGCGTGGGGACTTCCGGCTCCTGGTCCTCCTCCACCGACACAGGCTTCACTGCCAGCAGAGCCTGCGGGGAGAACGTGAGGCCTCGGGGTTTCAGTCTACACTACCCACAGGCTGCAGAACCCTTCCTGGGCGCAGAATAGGGGACTGTCACTGAGTCGACAGACATCGGTCATCACCCCTTCGGCCCTAGCTCTGCTTGTCTTGGTACCTGAGGCTCGGTCTGCTGCACCCGGTCCTGGGCCTCCAACAGCTCCTTGTCAATCTGCTCCAGGCGCGAAGCGCGGATCTAGAGACCAGAAATGGGGAAGGCAAGCTTACTTGCCTGGATGCCTCCACCCCTCCTTGACTCCTCCCATTCAGCCCGCCCTCCACTCCCCGATGCCCGCGTGTGCACTGGGCACCTGCGCGCGCTGCACCATCTCGTCTGAGGTGCCGAAACGCTCCTCCATCAGCGAGCGAATGTGCTGGGCCTCGAACTCCAGCTGCTGCCGAATGAGATCCATCTGCATCGAGAACTGCTGGGAGGGGGCACAGGCTGCGTGAGGCGCATCCGGGGCTTCCCCGTCACACACACCCTGTTCCCCCATCTTCGCTAGGTGCCCCAGGGGTCTCACCGTGTCAACGTGTGGCAGCTCATCCAAACGCTTTGACAGGCCCTGCAGCTGAGAGTAATACCACAGCTTTTCCTTCTCCTCTTTTTCGATCTCGCTCAGCAGGAAGCATCTGGGGTAGGGGTGCGGGGTACCTTCTTATAGGTGACATTCCCAAGGACCCCACCCCCACCCCTACTCCCAGCTCTGAGGTGGGCACTGGAAGAAACTGGATGAGTGGGAGGGGGAAGCTAATTGGAAGTGCAAAACAGCAATCCCTTGTGAGGCTGAGGCATGAGGATCTCTGTGAGTTTGAGGCCAGCCTGGGCTATAAGAGCTACTTCCAAGTTAGCCAAGGCTATGCAAAGAGATCCTGTCTCAATAAATAAAAAGATAAAAAGGAAACAAGGCAAAGGGAATTCTAGGAAGACCCAAGAGACCGCAGGGCTCCAGAGTGCTCACTTCCTCCCGTTCATACATGCCAGCTCTCAGGCCCAGAAGCCTAACTGTCCCCACAGCGCCCTGGAGGCTGGGCCGGGGGATCCTCAGTAGCCTGGACTGTATGCTAAGATCCCTCTCTTGGCTGGCGAAGTAGCTAGATGGGTAGGGCATTTGTCACCAAGCCTGGCCATCTGAATCTGTCCCCGTGGATCTCCTGGTGTCCGCTGACTACAACACACACGCCATGGTGCTCCCCAAAGAAATAGATATGGTTGGGGGCCAAAAATAAAGAAAAGAAGCAATCAGCAAAAATCTATCCCGATTTTATGGAGTGGAAATCTGAGGCCGGATGTCGCACCTAGCTGACTTAGGTAGAGTTGATTGTCGGCTGCTCATCAGGCAGACCTCAGGCAGACCTCAGGCAACCCGGACGGGCTGAGCCCAGGCTCCAGCGCTGCCCCCTCCACTGGCCCTAGGCCCAGAATGTTTGGGCTTCTGTCCTTCCATCAACAAAGGCCTCCTTGAGAACCTCTGGCGTTAGGCCTGATTCTGAGCCCTGATTTTGGACTTGACTCTGTCCCTAGAGACGCCTGTATGTCTCTGACTGGGGTGGTGGTTCTTCCAGGAGCCTTTCCCTTTGCCAGAAATGTCCCCATATCCTCTGTCCTCCTGCTGGGGTCAGCCAGACAGAAATACAGTGGAGATGGGCGTGGATGAGCCAGGAGGTGGGTGTGATTGTATAGCGGCGTGGCCACAAGCCAATGTGCCAATCAGAGGACAGAGATCCCTGGGGCAGATCCTTTCCACTCTCACCGCTCCTGGTCCAGTTCTTCCAGCAAGCGGATGGTGGCCCGGCTCAGCTCCCCGAAACTGTCCTTGGATGGGCCAGAGCCGTGCACTGGGCTTCCCTCTGGAGTCCGGGAGGCAGGCTCCAGGCCCAGGGCTGGGGGCTGGAACTTTAGGTTGTAGAGGCTACTGATGTCAGTCTGAAGAGCTGAAAGGAGGGGCGTCACGGGTGAAGGTCAGCAACCTGCTCCTGCTGTGTCCCCACGAGCCATGGGACAGTCCCCTACGCACTCACCTTTCAGCTGTTCTAGCACTTCCGTCTGCCCGGAAGACACCAACACCCGCGCCTCCTGCTCCAGCTTGCCCTGAAGGTGTTTTAGAACTTCCTGCATGGTAGGGAATAGGGCTGTGGCCATCATGGCTGCCCCGAGGACCTCTCTCAGCCTCCCAAGACAACAACAGTGCTTCTAAGCCATGCCCGTCACACAGACCCTCACCTTCATGCCGGAAGTCTCTGTCTCCAGCTTGGAGAGGTGGCTGGAATTATCCCTCAGCTCCTGTCTTAAGTACGTGTTCTCCGCCTTCAAGGCCTCCACCTGCCGTACCAGCTGCTCGTACGATGCCATGGAACTGGTCATCTTCAATTCCTGCAGTGCCTGGGGCCAAGGAGGTCACAAGAGTGGGAGCTGGTGTCCCTCAGAAAGGCCAGGGTCTGAGCCCAGCCCTCTTGCCCACCCTAGGGCATGGTTGTCTGGTGTGAACCAGTCACCTGGCCAGCATCTGAGGCAGACAGACACAGAGACAGAGGAAAACTGAAGCTGGGAGTCCTTACAGGGTTGTTCGATACAGACAAGTCTAATAATGGATGAGGGGATGAGCGAGCATCATTTGTGGACTCCTGCACTGACAGCCAGCCAGAGGGTCACACAGACATCTGTCACTCTGGAAGTCCAAGTCAGCAGGTGGATGGGCCACCTGGAGGCCATCAGGATCACAGACTGACACAGGAGAAGCTGACAGACAGACAGACAGACAGACGGCAGACAGATGGGACTGATTCCCCAACAAAGCACAGACTGCCCAGGCTGGCAGACACCTGGGGAGGATGGGTCATTAGCTCACCCAAAACACCGTGAAGGCCAAGGAGCCCCGACTAAGGGAGCTATGGGCAGGAGATAGACCCAAACTCACCATGGTCATCCCAGGGCTTTGAGTCCTAGGCCGGTCCCCCCGAAGCCCCACCTCCCCCTCCATTCACGAAAGGCTCTCCAGAGTCTATTCGTGGCTCAGCAGCCTCTGGCCTGAACGCGGTGCCATCCGGCAGCTGGGCCACAGCCCAGCTCTTTGTGTTCCCGAATGTCCAGCCTCCTCCCTCTGTCCAGCTGGCCAGTGCCTCCTCCTTCAGCTTGGCTCTCCCTCCACGGCCATCCTGAACCCCCACAACCCCCTTCTGTCTTTGTTCCCTTCTATCTGTGAAAGCCCCCTCCCTCTGCCTTTGTCTGAGGCCCACCAATGGCGTCTCGTCTCTTCTCCTGCCTCCTCCTCCTCCTCCTTGGGAGCCCCCCTCTCCTTGCCAGCCTTAAGGCTCCATCCCAAATCAACCACACCCACTCTGTTTAGGCAACACCTTCTCCTTTGCTCCCCCCACACCTGAACACACATGATCTAGTACTAATTTCTCCTTTTCTGGAAAGCTCTGCCCACCCTGATGTCACCCAGGGCATGGGTGGAGGGGACCACCAAATGTCTTAGGGTCTCAGTCTCCCACCATCCCATCCTGCCTGGAGGACCGGCTGTGGCCTAGCCATGCCTTCTGGCTTCTTCCTACAACAGAACTAAATCTCAGCTGTTCCTAGGAGAGAGAAACTTGTGTCTAGGGCTAGGGGTTTGGTAAGAGTGAGAAAGGAGGCCGTGTAATCAGAACCCAGACTCTTCCTGCAGAGATGCTCAGAAGCCCACGTAGTTAGCTGGGCATGGTGGCACACACCTCCATCCCAGCACTTAGGAGGCAGAGGCAGGTGGTCTACAGAGTGAGTTCCAGGACAGCCAGGACTACACAGAGAAACCCTGTCTCGAAAAAACAAACAAAAAAAGAATTCAAGGCTAGTTTAGGCTACATATTGAGTTCATAGTTAGCCTGAGCTACTTAAGACTCTATCTCAAAAGACCAAGCTAAAAGCAAACAAAACAGACCTGTCCTCTCCTTGTGTCTCTGCGTGTCCACTGAAGAGCGGAAGATCTACCCCTGACTGCCCCAAAGGGCCAATGGGAGTTTCCAAGCCAGAAGTGACTTCACCTTGACACAAATTCTACCCATGGATCAAGGCTCACATTTAATCGAGCCCTGCGTTTGAGCCGAAGGCAGCATGCCATGCCCAGCCAGGAGGGGGAGATGAGGCTCTGCAGGAACTGTATAGTGCCCACCCATTGGGATGCTCGTGCTCCACACCTGATGGTGCCCGGAACTCAATGTCACTTATTATCCTGATCCCACAGGGCTACCAGCCCTCCAAGCTGAATCCACCCCACCCTCACCCTTGCACCAGGCCACCCCTCCAGTGTCCTCCTGCTTGCTACTGCGGAAGGCACAGTCCCCTCCAGAGGAAGCTACGAGGCTCACTGTTGGATTCCATCCTATGGTGTTCAGATGCCTCCCATGGCTCCCCAGTGCCTGCCGGAAAAACCCTAGCACCCTACACGCACACATCCTCAGGGTGCACGAGGCCACCTTTCCTGTGACCCCACACCCTACATAATACTACAGGAAAGGAGTCCCACCCACTTCTAACCCCAAGGTGGCCACCTTAGCAGGGGACAGACAGAGAGACAAGTAGTAACTGGATGCAGGTCTCCTGACTGACTCAGAGGGGGAGGTACAGGTGTGGAGGGAGATAGACACCTGGGGGGCGTATCGCCAAACTCCTGACATCCCAACACCCCAACCTTTACAGAGAGGTAAAGAAACAGACTAGAGGCACACAGCAACTCCCCCGGACACACTCCTCTCCATCCCTCACGTACCATCTATGGATCTGGGTGTTGGAGCCCATGAGTGTGTGTGTGTGTAGGACTAGCCGTAGTGACTCAGATGCCTGCCTCATCCGGACTCAGTTTCCCCTCAGCTCCTATTCTGCATTTGAGCCAGTACTGACAGGGCGCGGCAGGTCACGCCCCTGCCCTCCGCCCAGGGGAAGACGCACGCTTACTTGCATCTGGCCTAGCTGTGAGGCCCAGGGCCTCCTTCCTCCTCTTGGCTAGACCTGCAATCCAGACTTGGGGTGTCTAGGTCTCCGGGAATCTCAGCAGCACGAGCAAAGGGGGGGTGTTCCGAAGGGACAAAGCCCGATCCGATCCCGGCCTAGCCAGGTGGTGCGGTGCTGCCGCTCCCGGCCCTGGGCGAGACCACCACGAGCAAGCGGGGGGGAGGATGCGGGATGCAGGTGCTTGGGCCAATGTCGGCGCGGGAAGACGAGCTGGTGCCATGGCAACAGCCAATAGCAGTCCGGGGCGGGGACCCGTGATGACCGCGGGGCGTCGGGCCTCCTTAGGGGCTGAGGGGGTGGGGGCACTGGGATTGATAAACCCCTATCAAGGGAAAAGGGGTGCTTTGAAGCCAAAACCTCATGCAAAGCATCAAATTGGTAAATATTATGCCAAAATCTTGGGGGAAGGTTACTACTCAATCCACCCACCAGGTGTGGAGATGTCAAGGCAGGAAGGACTTGGGACAAGCAAAGTCAGAGTACCCTGAGGTCCTCAATGACCTGGGACTTGGAAGGCTGGGAGATGGGCAGGCATTCTGGGGCCAGATTGACAATCGCATCTTTCACTGTCCCACCACCTGACAGCACCAGGGCCTGTGACAATTCCTCCCCGTGTCTCTCTGTCCCTGTTTCTGTCTCTCCCCAGGTCTCTATCTCTGACTTCGCGACGTCCAAAGGGTTCCCTTGGGCGCTAACCGCAGAGCCTGGGTTGGAAAGATGGCTCAGAAGTCAACAGTGTATATTACTCTTCCTGCAAACACAAGTTCCGTTCCCAACATCCAGGTCCAGTGGCTGCCAGCTCCCACAACTGCCCACACCTGTGTCATGTGTGAGTGTGTACACACACACACACTGCCCAAGCCTGGTATCTGAACAGTCCCTCTGGCTGCCAGCTCCACTCACACAACATAAGTGTGGTCAGTGCTGAGAGAGGTGGCTATATGACCTACTGTGGCATTTTCCCATCTGGGGACACAGACAAACCATAGAACTTCTGCCCCTCTGTGGTGAAGGAATCTCAGGGGGTGCCAGGTAAGGCAGGGGAACCCCTCACCCTCCAATATTTCCAAGCAGGAACAGTTAGCAGGGACCCTAAGGGTCCTCCAGCTGGCTGAGCAGTGGTGGCCTCGCTGCTTGGGAGGAGGTGGTAGAGGGGCCCTTGCTGGAGGCAGGGAAGTGGGGAAGGCTTTCTTCATGTCTGTCATCCCAGCACCGAGGCTGAGGCAGGAAGATTACTTGGCGTTTGAGGTCAGCCTGTGCTAAGGTGAGACCTCATCTCAAAAATAAAAGGGACGAAGCGGCCAGCTTGAAGTCCAGGCATAGCGGTGTCCGAGGAGCACTGGAGGGGGGGTTCGTGGGATTCCGCCAGGGCGAGCCATCAAGGCCAGGAGAGCTGGGAGGGTCCTCATAACTCAGCTCAGAGTTGAACAGGGTGGGGTGGAGTACAGAACACAGAGCCATTTGACTTCCATTCTGCCTCCACCTCCCTGGGTGACCTTGGTGTCTAGCCTGGCTTGTGGTCCTTATAGAATTAACTGTTCAGTTTCTCCAGAACACCACAGTGTGCCAAGTCCTCTCAGGCAAAGCCTGAGGGAAGGGAGACTTTACACTCCCACACGGAGACACTGAGGCTGTGCTAGGAAGGGCACACCGCTTCAATCACACCCGAGCTGCAGCCAGGCCTCTGGAGGGGTTAGGCCTCCTCCTGCCTTCATGGAAGGCTATGGGGACCCCTAGACAGGAACATTCCTCACTCCTTCCTGTCCCGCGCCCTTGCTGAATGAACCTCTGATGGACTTGGACGCCATGTTACCATGCACTCTAAAGTCCTAAGAGCTGGAATCCAACCCTCAGCCCCAGTCACCAAGAATCCAAGGCCTGACCTTCATGATGGGGGAGACCCTGCACCTAGTGCCCTGTGCCCAGGCTTCCCAGAGGGCTCAATGCACCCTGGGACCCTGATTTGTGACACTGCAGGTCACTGGACCTCCAGAGTCTGACGGCTGTCCTCTTGGCATGCAGCCAGCCTACATACACCCCCAAGTGGGCTCCCCTGGCTGTGGAGTAGGCACAGGGCAGCTACATGACCACAGCTGCCCCTCATTTGAACAGGGCTGTGATGGGTGACAGAGGCAGCAGATGCTGGAGGGCACTGATGGCCCTCGGCTTCCCTGGGAGGGGGCAGGCTGTGGGCCCAGCCACTCCCCAGACCCCCAGCGCATAAGCACTTCTGTGGCTCAGTCATATGACCTTGGCCAGCTTGATTGTGCCCCAGTTTCCCCTTCGTGGCAGAAGTGCAATCTTAGGAATGTCAGTCTGTGGACACTGAGCAGGTGGGCCCTAGCTCCGTAGTGTCTACGGGGAAACTGAGGCCTAGCAATGTGCAGGGCGTGGTCGGGCCCCGCATTCTGCGCTGGCTGGACCCTGAGCGCGATGTACCCCAGCTTCAGCCCTCTGTCTCCTAACCACTGGTCTCTAGAGGGGAGGAGGGAGAGGAGAGTGAGGGTCTCTAGCGCGGAGGGATGCTCCCAAAAGGTCTGCGCCTGCGCAGGACGGGGGAGGGGTCGCTGCAGCACAGGGGAGAGGAGCCCAGCCTCAAACACATGCCCAGGCGGTTTCTTTGGCAACTATCTCCAGAGCAACTATGAAAGACCCCCGACTAGTCAAGCTGGCTTGCTCCAGCCTGGGTGTCTTCACGCTGACCCCAGGGGACGGCTGTTTGCAGTCAGGACCCCACCTGGCTGTACCCACACCCTCGTCCCCGGCCAGGACTCCCTGTACCCTACCTGGTCCCCGAAGAAAGCTGAGTGCAGGAGGCTTAGGAGCCCTAAGAGCCCCATGGAGCTGCGGCTGCTGGACAGCGCGGGCCCCGCCCTTGGCCGTAGGGATGGAGGCGGGAGGCAGGGAGTATTGCGCCTGCGCACAGAAGGGGGGGCGGGGGTGTCACTCCTAAGGGGAGGGGTGACCTGAGACTCTAAAGATGTAAATCAGGGACCCGCTTGCGACAGCGAAAAGGTGCATTCTGATGGGCCTGGAGGGTTCTGAGTATTAGAAACAGTCCAAGGGGCAGTAATTTGCTGGGTGCCACTCTGAGAGTTGTGGGAGGGGCATGGAGGGGTGGGCTGAATGGGGACACTGTCCCAGCTGCTGAGTCCGTCGTGTATAAACGTGGAACACATACTACAGCTTGACCCTGTAAAATGGACAAACAGGTCTGAACCCCCGGTCTTTGTCTACTTAGCAAAAACCGAGCTAAAAGTCCGCTGGGTGGTGGAGGCAGAGGCAGGTGGATCGGGGAGTTCGAGGCCAGTCTGCTCTACACAGTTCCTGAATATTCAGGCTACAGAGAAACCGTCTCAATAAACAAAAAAGGTAAAAGTCAGGTGGTCAGATGTGGTACACTCAGAGACCAAGACAAGGTTGAGGTTTTGTTCCTTTGATCCAGGCGACCCCGAGTGACGGAGAGACCTGGCAGAGGGGCTGGCGCAGACGCAGAGAAATGGATGTGAGAAGTAACGCTGCAAAGACGGGACTGGCCTCTGCCAGGAGCTGAACTGGGAGGCAGGCGAGGCAGCCTGCCTCCAAGGAGGAGGGGCCAGGCCTGGGATGCCCTTCTCCCACACACCCAAGAGTCCCTGGTGCCGCTGCGGGCAGGTAGCTCATGCTGCTCTTGCTGAGGACTCCAGGTGATCCCCAACTCTTCAGCCTTCGTGGGCACGATGGGCAGCTGGAGTCTCCAGTAAACTGAGGTCACTTGGCTGGCTGCTGCTAAGCCAGCAAGTGCATGCCTTTAACCAGCGCTCAGGAGTCCCTCTACTCACAGCGCCTGTCAGAACCCCTTGGGCAGGGGAGGCCCAGGCCGGGGTGTAGGATCTGGTGGTGGCCCAGGACCCGGGAGGCTCCAGGGTCGAGCAGCCAGGCCACCACTGGCCCTCTGCCACCTCCCACGCCGCTCTCCAGGAGACCCTGCTCTCCCGGCAGCACTCATCTCAAGGCAGCTTAGACGAGCCCCGGAACCGGGGAGGACACCCCGCCCCCCAGGAGCCCCAGAAGAAAGCGGACTCCGAGGACTGAACATGAGTCTTTATTGGCCACAGCTACTTGAGGGGGATGAAGCGTGAGGAGTGGGTGGCACCGATGCCAGGCCGGCCGTGCTTCACAGGCTTGTAGGTGATGGAGAACTCGCCCAGGTAGTGGCCGATCATCTCCGGCTGCAGGTGAGGGTGAGCGGAGTGTGAGCGGCCGGGAGGGAGGAGCCGCCCCACCGCTGCCCCGCGCACCCCCTCCTGCGCTCACCTTGATCTCCACCTGGTTGAAGGTCTTGCCGTTGTACACGCCCACCATGCTCCCCACCATCTCGGGCAGGATGATCATGTCCCGCAGGTGGGTCTTCACCACCTCGGGCTTCTCCATGGGCGGCGCCTCCTTCTTGGCCTTTCTCAGGCGCTTGAGCAGCGAGTGCTGCTTCCGCCGCAGGCCGCGGTTGAGGCGTCGCCTCTGCCTGGCGCTGTAGAGCTGCATCAGCTGCTCACTGCGGGGAAAAGGGCCGGGGCGGCTCAGGGCCGGCGCTGGGGACCTCCCCGGGCGCACACCCCACCACAGTGGACCCGAGCGTCACCCCGGCTGCCGAAGGCGCCGCGCCGCTTACTAGGACATGTCCAGCAGCTGGTCCAGGTCCACGCCGCGGTAGGTGAACTTGCGGAAGGTCCGCTTCTTCTTCTGCTCCACTTCGGCCTGCATGAGCGCGAGTCGGGGTTAGCGGGCCCCGGAGACCCCGATCAGCGCCCCTGAGGCCTGTGACCCCCGTCCCCGGGCGGATGGCGCCCGATACACCAACACGGAGAGGGCCAAGCCCGCGTACTCACCATCTTGGCGGCGACTCGGAAAAGGAAGCGATGTCTGCGTCTGCGCAGTTATTGCGAGCTCCGCCGGAAGGCCACGCCCCCAGCCGCACGCCCGCTTCCGCTTTCCCAGAGACTCTCCGTCGCCCCTGCTGTGGGGAGGGCAAAGCGCAGCCAGCCCTCGCCAAAGGGGTATGGTTCCACTTGGGGTTTTGTTTTGTTGTAGTCTATCTGCCGCTCTTTTCTTTCTTTCCCTCTCTCTGTCTCTCACATGTACAAGTTCTCAAGGAGTCCCGGTGCTCTCTAACTCATGGCAATCCTCCTGCTTGACTTTGTATTTTCATTTATTTGTTTATCTTGCTTTTTCAAGGCAGGGTTTCTCTGTGTATCCGCCTGCCTCTGCATCCAGGATGCTGGGATTAAAGGTGTGCGCCACTACCGCCCGGCTTTGTTTGTTTTCACTTGTGTGGTGTGTGTGAGAGACTGTGCTGGTCAGAGGACAAGGCAGAGGAACGAGTTCTCTCTTTCCACCACGTAAATCGGGAGACTTGACTTCAGGTCACCCAGTGAGCCATCTCCCCACCTACTTCTTTTCTGTTTTGGACAGGGTCTCATGTAGCTCAGGCTGGCCTCAAAGCTGATATGTACTGAGAATGACCTTTTGTTATGCCCAAATCCGCAAAGTCCCCCCAAAACCAACAAAGAGACCGAGTCCCGTATGTAAAAGCAAAGAGCCTTTATGTAAGTTTGCAAACTCCGTCTCTCCATGTGTTCCACGTATTGGAATAAACGGGGAGCCCCGAGCTCAGTTAGAATAGGGTTTTATAGTAGTAAAGGTGGGGGCGAGGGGTTTCTGAGGTTCAGGACCCCTGATTGGCTGACATTTGTCTGGGGTGTCCTGTTGACTGTGTGCTGGCAGGTGGTCCTATCTACAGCGGTTGGAACATTAGGCATTTCCTTTGAATGTTCTGCTCTTGGGTGGTGTTCAGGTAATCTGCTTCTGGTTCTTCCTGCGACCAGGTATTTATTGCTTCAGGGTAAACTACTGAGACTCAGGTCTACCTTCCTGCTGATCTATAGAACCCATCTTGGCAGGTGTATACCAAGTTGCCCTGGGAAAGCTGCCCTCAGCCCTTCTGGTAGTCCTGTCCCCACCTCTAGAGTGGTCTGTGCCACCCACCATGCCCAGCCACAAAAGGGAAGGCTGTTTTTAGTGTTGTCCCTCAGTCAGGCATGATGACATGTGCCTTTAATGACATCATACAGAAGGCAGACAGGACAGCCAGGGTTACAGAAAGACACCCTGTGGGGAGGGGGAACCCCCCTCACTCCATACTAGCAGGCTTCATACTCAGGATCCTTCTGTCAGCCTCCTAGGCTGATGGAGACGCTCTCAGGTGCATACTCTGCGATGTATTTGACAGAGGGCAGGACTCTGGCTTCTCTCACAACTCCATTTAAATAAAACTTAAATCCAAAGTAAACTACAGGCTTAGTGCACGGCCAGGACTGTTAGCAAAACAAAGGGAACTAGCCCTGCGGGGTGACCTACTTAGTCCTGCAGGTTTGAAGGCAGTTGGGGGGGGGGGCAGGGTCTCTCAGTCAAACCCAGAATTAAAGGCGTGCAACCACCACTGCCCTATCTGTGAAACCCTGCCTTAAGACAAATAGGCACACACCTATTATCCCAGCACTACACGGAGGCAGGTGGATCTCTGAGTTCTAGGTCAGGCAGGGGAGATACCTTAGTGCTTAGGGTCCCTGCTAGGGCAACGTTCAGCGTGAGCTTGGAGGCTGCCTGCAACTCCTCCTGGGAGGTGGAGCCAGACTCCCCACAGCAAGTTGGCAAGCATGATTAGAAAAATCAGCCTCTTCTGGGTTTGACTGAGAGACCCTGCCTAAAACAGTTTTGGTGGCACACGCCTTTAATCCCAGCACCTGAGAGGTAGAAGCAGGTCGATCTCTTGAGTTCCAAGTCAGCCCGGTCTACAGAATGAGTTCCAAGAAACCACGTCATAAAAAAAAAAAAACCAAAAGAATCTACAATTAACATAAAAGGAGCAGGTAACTGTAGGAAACAAGAACAAAAACACCTGTGTAAAGAACAAGCAGGGACGGGAGATGCCAGCCTGGGTACAGTGACAGTATGACAAGGGGACCATGGTGTGGTTGACATGGAGTCCGTGGAAATGGGCCTGCACCCCAAGCCCTGCCTAACTATGCTGTGACAGGGTCTTTCCTGGATATTTAATCACTTTATGTACAGGGTGTGTGTGCACACATGTTAGTGTACAGGAATGCTGGCCCTGGGGCCACATCACCTGGAGCTGTCTCATTACATATGGTTGTGATCCGCCATGTGGTTGCTGGGAATTGAACTCTGGACTTCTGGAAGAGCAGCCAGTTCTCTTAACCACTGAGTCATCTCTCCAGCCCCACCCCCACCCCCCGCCCTTCAGCCACAGACAGATTTGTTATTTGAGACAGGGTTTCTCTGTGTAGCCCTGGCTGTCCTGGAACTCTCGCTCTGTAGACCAGGCTGGCCTCGAACTTACAGATCCACCTGAGTTCAATTCCCAGCAACCACATAGTGGCTCACAACCATCTGTAATGAGGTCTGGTGCCCTCTTCTGGCCTGCAGAGATACAAGCAGACAGAATACTGTATAAATAATAAATATTTGGGAAAAAAAAGTAAAAGAGGGACAACTGCTCTTAACTGAGGAACGAACTCACAGGAATCCACCTGTCCCTGCTGGGATTAAAGGTGTGCACCACCACTGCCTGGCCCCAAGGAACCTCCTATATAGCACTATCTAGTTCCTTTGAGACAGGGTCTCACCCAGGTTGGCTTTGAATGGAATTCAGACTTCTGCTTGCCTCTGCCTCCCAGGTGCTGGGATTAAAGGCACCACAGCCGCCCGGCTTCATATTTCTTTTAAAGGTGTACTTAAGGGTGTGGAGAGATAGCCCAGCAGGTAGGACCTGGTGCACTTCTAGAGGACCTGGGTTCAATTCTCACCACCCACACGGAGGCTCTCAGCCATCTCTAACTCCAATCCCAGGCCATTGTGGGACTGTATGCACTGTATGCAGAGGGCAGACTGACACCCACACACATTAAGGGTAGATAAACTTAGGGCCAGTAAAAAAGTTCAGAGAGTAATGCACTTCTCACAGATGAAGAACCCAGCGAGCTCTGACATGCCCTCTGACCTCCACAAGCACACCTTGGTATAAGCCCCTCCCCACACCAAAATAAATTGTGGTGGATGTCACATCAAGGCCAAAAATGGGACTCCAAGTAACCAACCCTGTCTCCTGCATTCTGCACTTACCTTTAATGGGGCAGGTCCTGTCAACTGGTACTCACGGGCCCTCCAAAGCGCACAGAGGACAGAGGGAAACAAGCCAGAGTTACAGACACAGCAGACACCACTCAAGTTCTGATCCAAACACGCTGCTTTATTCAAACTGGGTCAAACTGGTCAATGGGAACCTGAGCCCGGCTGAGGGACCTCCAGCAAGGCCATGCCTGCCACCCGTGTGGGGCTCAGGCCACCTGTGACGTCAGCACTGCCACCTGGGCCAGGAGCCCTGTGGCACCTACAGCCACACAAGCCGCTCAAAGCAAGGAATGAACAAAAAACCAAATGCACGCAGTAGTCTATGACCGTGCCCCAGCCCGCGCCGGCGGGAGCTAGGGCCCCCACTTCCCGCACCCGAACCCTGCTTTAAATTAAAAAATAAGCCAGTATACATCGTAGAAAATTTCTCTTAAAAATCTCACAATTTGTAAATGTATATTTTTTCTTTAACATAAAAGTTTACAATATATGGTAAAACAAAAGGCTCAGGAAAATAATCTCAAAAAGGAAAAAAAAAGAAAAAAGAAAAAAAGAAAAAGAAACCTGAAATTCTGAATTAAAGCTGAAGGCGTTTTTTAAACCCTGTTGTTGAACCAGTGACGTGTTTTTATTGTGCTGATGGGTCAGAGAAAAGAAATATATTTAAAACCTCAGTCCAGAAGCGGCCTTCGCAGCCCGCCCCCCCCCTCCCCCCAGGTCGAGTGGTCGTTTATTTTGCTCCGAGTGTGTGATTGTCACGAGTTCACCAGTTCCGGATCCTGCACTAGCGCCGGTAGGGGTGGAAGCCCTGCACGTTGTGGTTCTGCCCGCGTCCGAAGCCGCTGCCACCAGCAGGGGGACCCCCTGAGCCCGGCACCGAGGGGCCCCCATAGGAGGGTGGCTGCTGGCTGGGGTCCGAGAAACCCTGGCCGAAGCCACTCAAGTCCTGCCCGTAACCTGCTGGGAGAGAGGCTGCTTAGCCTAGGATCAGGGGACAGAGACCCGCCCCATGCTTCTTCCAGAGCATCCATCCCTGTCCCAAGGAGAGGGGGTCTGGATGTTCAATCCTGGGGTCTGAGGGTGGCCTATCACCCAGTCCCGATGCACCCCACATGTGAAGTCAGAACTGGGGCACTCAAAGAATGCTCAGGCCCTCTCGCCAGGCGATGGTGGCGCCACCTCCTAGTACTCAGGAGGCAGAGGCAGGCGGATCTCTGTGAGTGTGAGGTCAGCCTGGTCTACAAGAGCTAGTTCCAGGACAGGCTTGAAAGCTACAGAGAAACGCTTGTGGATGGTTGACCTTAAATGCCCAGAGACAGAGGAAGTAGGAGGAAGGCCACACCTCCCCCACAACAGGCAAGTGAAAGCAACCTGGAGACCTGGCTCAGAGCTCAGCTAGCAGGCACAAGCCCTTGGCCACAGCACAGCAGCTCTCGCTCCAGGGGTCAGCTGTGTGACCCAAGCAGGCCAGAGCAGGGATGGAAAGATCTGGACAGGGGCAGGGGCACAGTCCACGCTGTAACCAACTCCAGTTTTCAGAGAGGATGCCTCTTTCTGGCCTCACGTGGTACACATAAACTCACCCAAACACACAGCAAATAAAATAATTCTTAAAAAGAAAATTTCCTTCTATAAAAACAGGAGCAGAGGCTGGGCAGTGGTGGCGCACGCCTTTAATCCCAGCACTCGGGAGGCAGAGGCAGGCGGATCTCTGTGAGTTCGAGACCAGCCTGGTCTACAGAGCTAGT